TGCCCCGCGACGAACCAGACTGGTAGGCGTTGGGACGATAGCTCGAAGAACCTTGACGCACCTTGCGCAGGAGGCAACCGTTCCGAAGGTGACATGTGTCTTCATAGTCAAAACACCGTCGTATATTTGTGTGTGCCCGGCAGCTCAGAGCTCTGCTTCCTCGTTCTCAGCATGGCTGAGATCCACGGGCAAGGACCCGCTCGACGAGCTAGTGGAGTGTGCATTCCAACCAAGCTCTGCAGACTTAAAATTGAATTCGGCATTCGATGCCACATTGACCACTTCTCAAATGAAGCGGATGCACACGGAAGACTTCAATTCTGGCCACACCAGTGCGGAGGCCTTCCAAAAAGACGGTCACTGTGACCGCATCCGGGAAGGCTGCCATCCTGGCAATGAGAGTGCGCATCTTTTGGACAAACTCCACCAGTTCCTTGTTGCCCTGTCGGGCGACAAGGAAACGCAGCTGCACGCGATATGGCGATATGCCAGATTAGGCGGCGAAAACACTCGTGAGAGTTGCAAATTTAGCTTTGCCCAAGAGGGAAACGCAGCTTCGACCGAAGTGCCGCACGTCAGTGCCCATTCTCGCGCTACCGAACTTGGAGATGGCTAGCGCCACGTGCTGTCGCTCGGTTTGGAGCATGGCGGATGCAATAGCCATCTCGCCCTCTCTCACCCAGAGCACGATATCCTCTCCATCCTTTTCTCAAAGACCTTGACGCTCACCACGAGCGGTTTAAGTCATCTGTCACCGACGGTGGCGTCATAGACGCAAACGATGCAGACATCTTCTGCAGCAGGTGCTCAAGCAGCGCGTTGTGATCTACACAGATCATGCGTCACTACGCTCTGCGACTCAGTCTCCCCACCTCTCGCAGAGGATAGCTAAATGGCTATCCTTCTTCACGGAGTCGAACTTCGCAGTGAAATATAAGCTGGGAAAGCAAAATGCTTTGACTGATGCGTTGTCACCCAGAACATACTATGAGCTTGCTCGTGTTACAACTATAACATGGTCTGTGACAGATTTGATCCGCACCGCATATGCGGGAGATGAGATGTGTGGGGCGTTGCTACGGGCTCTAGGGAGCAAGAAGTTTCAAAACTCGGACAAGAAATTGTCATCACAACTGCGTGCACGATCGCACCGATACTCGTTAAGTAATGGTTTGCTATATTGTAGTACCGATTTAACGAATACACCACGAATTGTGGTTCCTCATGATGAGAAATTGAAATACCGCATCTTCTATGAGGCTCACGACACGCCACTCAGTGGCCATCTCGGTCGTGAGAGAACGTTCCACTCTGTGAGTCACCACTATTGGTGACCCAAGCTGTACAAATGAACGAGCACATATGTGCGCACGTGTGAGACGTGTCAACGGGTATAAACCCTTCCCAAATGCGGCTGCACCACTGGCCAGCTTACAGGGACACTTCGGGTGCTGGCAGTCTATGAGTTTGGACTTTGTGTTTGGCCTGCCGAAAGATTCGGCGGGCAACACTGGTGTCGTGATATCCGTCGACCAGTTGAGCAAGATGGCTCATTTGGCGGCGGTGCCTGACATAGTCGGTACAGCAACGCTGTTTGTAGATCGTGTTTTTCGACAACACGGACTCTCAGAGTCAATTGTCGCTGATAGAGACCCCCATTTCACGGAAAATTTTGGTCGACTATCTTTAAGGTGCTCGGCACCAAATTAGATATGTCGACAGCGGATCAACCGCAGACCGATGGTCATACCGAAAGGGTGAATCGCGTCATCGAAGACGTTCTTCGCA